TAAACCCCCCCCCCCCCCAAAAAAAAACCTTTTTAAAATGTATGCAATTATTTTCCTACAGTTTTTCAGGACAAGCTATTAAACCAAAATATACACCGCTACATCAGGCTAGAAGAGAAGAACGTAAAGTATTCCTCTCCGGTCGTTTTCTCGGAAACAAAGGAAGTACCCGGTAGTTCCTCTTCAGTAGGGCGCAAACTTCTGTCTCTCTGGTTTCTTGATGCCATTGGCGGAGGAGATCTTGGCGGTGTAGGAGGCCAAGGTGCTGTGGGCAGGGGCAGCAGGGGCCGAGAGTGCCAGGAAGGGGACGGATTTGATTCCCAGGAGGCTGGAGAGGGGAAGGGTATAGGGGGCGCCCAAGATTGGAGCGTGGGGCAGGCCGCCCATCGCTGCCAGGGCTGCGGCAGAGGACGATGCAGGGGGAGCAGTCTGGGTGAAGCTCATGTTGAGGTCTACAGGGGTCGACATGGAGGAGGACTGGGCAGTGGATTTGGCGGTCTCTAAACTGTATGAGGGTGGGAAGGAAGGAGGTGGAGGAGAGGAGGGTGGAAGGACAAGGGAGGGGAGCCGGATGGAGAAGGGTTAGAAGGTTAAATAAAAGACATGTTAAACAAAAATTGAGATAAATAAAAAAAGAAAGAATCATAAAACAGAAACAAAAAATCATAAGAGAGGTGTGTTTTGCTGGTGGTTGCAACAGATTATTTGAGGGGGGACCTTGGCACTCATGGGAAAGGAGCTGTTTAATTCAGGGTGATGGCTTGGGTAGGGGCTTTGGGAAAAGAAACAAAATGATTTCAATTTCAGTAGCATTTCCTTTATCTTTTATCAAATCGTCAAAAAGATGCATTTGCACTGAGTACCATGTTGACAAATGCATGTAATCAAATGTGCTCTGCCATTTATGTATATTGAGGGCATATAACTGATTTCTCAGGACATTATCAAGTAAGGGGTGTGTTCAATATGCAGAACTCTCTGATGCAATGCATTGAAACGAGACGTCTGTCTCTGAGGAAGTATTCTTCGAGAGTGACATTGATTGGGGGTGACGTCTCCAGACTTGATCCAGGACATGAATAATCATGTTTGATTTTTAATGTCTTCATGGAGCTGACTCATTAAGGAAGTATTCTGATGCTAGAGTGCCTTCGGTTGCTCTGGGATCGGCGTTTGTTGCCGTCACTTGTCAAAAACCAAAATGATATTAATTCAACTGATGAGAAACCACTAAAATCAATGATATTAAGACAGAAACAAAACAACAAAAGCTTTCTCAAAATATCTTGAAACCAACATAGTAATTTTCCATGCAGGATGCCTGAGTAACATTTTTCAAATAAAATAATGAGGGGCTTCTCAGAATGAGTTTGACATTCTGCACCGGTCTGCTTGTTGAACACACCTGAGACAAGCATAAATATTTCATTCAAGACCCAATTATTGCTCTCTTGTCGACTTGCTGAGTCATAATATGCTAGAAGAATTAATATATTATTTTGCACATGACACTGCATCTGTTAGAAATCTTAATTTATTTGCTAGCCAATACTGAAATGCGGGAATAAATAAAGAAGCCACTCATTTGGAGTGGTGTCCAATTTCCAGTTTCCTCATTATTATTCATTAATGCATATGCTTGGGTCCACAGAATAAATTTGAGTCGTCTTTTTGTCACTGACTTGAACTTGACTAACAATATTGGTTTGAATTGTTCAGATTTATTATGAGTGTTTTGCTAATTCATTATGTTAATTGAACTGACGTTAGAAGTATTTTTATAAGCCTGGGTAAAGAACAAAACTATTAATTTTGTTACATTAGTAAATTAAATTTTCCTCCACATTGATGGAGAAGTCTTTGCTGAGGAACCGAGCTGTCAGGAATTTACTGCTTTCTTGCCTGACACAACATTTGATCAAATTGCAACTGCATAGATCTAGTGGGAGAAAATTTGTCTTTCTATGAAGCAGCCAAAATACTCTGCCTTTAAGCTCTAACAAGCTTCTGGCTTGAAACTTGGCCAATCCCTCAGCCTGGCTTCGTTCTACCACATCTCCTTGCTTTGTAGTTGTGCAATGCTTTTACTCAAGAGTGCTTCTTTTGGCCAGCAAACTCCATAGTTTCCAAGGAAAGGCCCCTGATTGAATATTCCCAGAGGTTTTGACAAGGTCTCCTACTGCAGGGTCCTCTATAGCATTATGATGTAAAATATGCCACATAAACATGTGGTTAAGTTCAAACACCCTGGATCTGTTATGTTGGGATGGCTTCCAGTGCTTACCAGGATGTGATTAGATACTGGGCCAAGTTGATGCTGATTGGAGAGCCTGTGATGGTGACATGTCGGTCACTAGTGCTGTCCATTTGACTGCCGATCTTGATCTGAGCTCCTGACACCTGGCGAATTTCGTTGATTTTTGTACCCTGTCTGCCAATTATTGAACCAATCAGCTGTGAGGAAAGAAAAGACCAATCAGATTAATAAATATATATATGTATATATATATATATACATACATACATATACACAGCTATTCCTTGGCACTATTTCCGTCTAAAACAGGGGTGTCCAATCCTGCTTCTGGAGGGCCAAAGTCCTGCAAAGTTTAACTCCCACGCACCTGCCTGGAGTTTTCTAGAAATCCTGAAGAACTTGACTAACTGGTTCAAGTGTTTAATTGGGGTTGGAACTAAACTCTGCGGGACAGTGGCTCTCCAGGAACAGGATAGGACACCACTGCTCATGGTACACAATCGGAAAATAAACATTATGACTAATTTAAAGAAAATAAACTCTGTTGTTCAAACTCCACATCAAGATCATTTCCAAGGAGCTTATTCAAATGCAATCCATAAAATCATAAAACATGGTATACAGTCCTACTGCCCAAGTGAACTCTCTCTGTTTAAATCTAGATTAAAGACACATCTCTTTGGCCAAGCATCCAAATAATGCATCTCATAATCTTGTACTGCAGTCATATCATCAAATGCGCATTATTACTCTTTAGCTTGGGTTAAACAAATACATTTTGCTTGGTTGGAACAGCAGCTATGCTAATTATATCTCTATTTGTTTCTCTGTTTTTGTAACTAGGATTTACACAAGCTTCAGTCTGGATCCAGAACACCTGAGAAAAGATGATGCCAACCCCTCAGAGGACCTCAGATGATGCCAACCCTGAAACAACACACATAACTACCAAACTCTGCTATAAGTTTGATTGCATCATATAATAATTGATGCTAATAGTGTTCATCGTCTGTTTGATTACGTCTTTAATTGATTTTCCATACATTTCTGCCATATGTACATAAACTGTCAGTCACCACTGCTAAGCTACCACTAAATATTGTAGAAACTTAATTTTCTGTAAAGTTGCTTTGCAACGATTGTAAACTTGAATTGAATTGAACTGAACTATTGATTTCAGGGACACTAGTTGCACTCTCATGCCCATATCTAATGTGTTTTTTGACAAACACTCAAGTCTCTCTTTGTGTGCATGTCAACATGGTTGACTTTGAGGTGCTGGTTTGTTATGTTTGTTCATCTGGGCCTAAGATGTCAAGGCGGTGTCTGTGCATGGCATTGTCTCTGTAACAAGCATCTGCTAATAGTTATGCAGATCCAGGCGGTCAGTTTAAACCAACAGCAGCTGGTGAACTAATTCATCCTACCGTGGCAGCATCAAGTTTTTTAAAAATCTGAGGGTGTGCAGCACACCAAAAACCTGCTGGATGAATCCAGATGGGGTTACTGTACCTTCTGTAGAAGGTGTCCACAGCCAGAAGGAAGTGGACCAAGGGGGCTGGGTGACCTTATGGCTTGTTGTCAAGCTTAGACAATGATAAAGTGGAGTGACCCCAACTGGGATGAGTTAACGGTTTGTCATTCAAATGGCGGACAGCTAGTCTTTTTGTCCACTCTACATCCCAGCCCCCAACCCTCACTTTGAGTGTGAGTTGGGTTATGTGGGCAAGAATTGCTCCACAAAGCATTCCTTTCCTCACGAGTCATATGAACGTCAAAGCTCCTGATTCGTCACACCGCTCTCCCTGGTGCCCAGGGACTATTAATGGCTCAGCTGATTGTGGCTAAGTGCTTGTAGTCAACCGCCAGGTCTCTCTGCCACCCTGACGTAAAAGATTCCAGCATGTCCTCTGCACTGCACCACATATTTGCACACTGATATCCTTCATTTTTAGAACTCTATGAATTATCCATCCTCAAGCAATATATCAACGAAACAAAGTATTGACACCCACACAACCTCCTCCAGCCGTCAAGTTTGCCAGTTCCAAACAAAAACTTCAGTTTAGTCCATTTTATTGATTTCTTCGTATCCATTGAAATCAAGTTGCAAGCTAGGGGTCAAATCTGTCTGAAGCGAAAAACACAGGTATTTATACCCTAGTCAAGCTGGAGACAGGTCTATTTTAGGTGAATCTATTTAGTTTTGAAAGTCTGGGCAGCATGGACACATCTCCTGCCAGCTAAAACTGGTATCACTGATGGTCTCTTCCACCTCTCACAGGGCAATCTTTGAACAGGTAGCGTTATGGACCAGCTGCATCTGCTGCCACTGCTGCTCTTGAGCACTGATCTGATCCCAATCTAATTGTGACGTGTTTCTGCCGATTTAAGGGGATGGGTCACCATGGAGAAACTGCTCCTCTAGAGAGAAACCTGATTGCGAATGATAAACAACTTAGTCTGCCAGGCGTTTGATGTCTGTTTGATGTCGCCTTGCCTTGGAATTGCATCGCTGTAAGGGAATTTCAATAATACATGCTTTCCATTGCTCTGTTTATGGCTTTATGCAGGAATATGAATGTACAAGCATGTTAAATTAGCCCTTGATTGGAGAAATGGGTGTTCCTTTGAAGTTTATCATGTATGCTGAGGTTTAGAAATGAGGTCTAGCACCTAATGAATGCATTCAGGAAGTCAAGATTTATTTGAAGCTGGTGTCAATGTGATAAGAGCTGAGTTCTTGTTCATGTGCATCAAGGTAGTCAATGACTTCGCTTGTACGGAATCACTCTAGATAATCCATCAGTTTGTCAGTCATTACAGCTGCGCAAGAAATCAAAGATGCATATACACTATGTAAGATTCAAATAGAACAGTTGGCTTGTATAACTAAAATATTTCTCAAATTGCAGGGTGTATACTAAGAATAATAGATCACTAAGTACATTTACTTACAACAAACAAGACAAAATATGTAAAGAGTAGTTCACATAAGACACATACTCGTGTACACTACAATGACTCAAGTTTTTTTTTTAGATAAACTGTTGTTAACTGGTGTGAGACACTGAAAATGTGGAAAGTCAGACAATACACAAACTTGTCATATGTAAACAGCACTGGTTTTACTAAAAACTGCCTTAATTGTAGATTATTACTAGTTTGGCATAAGGGCTTAAAATAACAAAACAATGGGAGCTGAATTATGTATTGAGTATGGTCTCAGAGTCCAGGGCTGGGCCCTTCGCCAGTCGATTAATCCTGTGATCTCAGGGAGACGTGGAGGCGAGAGGGAGCCCCAGTCAGCAGGCATGAAGGGAACGTCTCGTTGGCCCCTGGGGTGCGGGGTCTGTACCACAACCTAGAGCTCTGACAAAAGGCTCTGGCTTTATTTACCGTCTTTGTTTTGACAGCAGAGGAGTGCTAAGCATGTCAGACGCCATGACAGGATTGAACTGGATCTTGTGAAGCTCTTCTAGCAGAGCAGGGGGTGGACAGATAAAAAGACACAAGTCGGTCTGTTTGAAAGAAAAAAGTTTCTGGATTTCTGCATGGCCAAAGTGTGCCATGAGAGGTGCTCTCAAAAATGTTCAGAACCAGGCTTTCTAGAGAAAGCACTTAACTAAAGTCTAAAACAAAATCTGACCATCCTCAAATATTTAATAATGTCTTCATAAACAACATAAACATAATCAAGCATTATTACTAAAGCAAAAGTGCTGCTGTACGGAATATCAATGATTAGCATGAGTAATGTGATACTTGCAAAAAAGACATTTTTGCACTTACGTCATTTGGAATGAGAAGTTCTTGTGATGCTGTCTGGGAACTGGACTCGATGCCTGTTGGAAAAGGAATAGGTACCAAGTTAAACAAACCATAGGATAATTTGCTTGCTTACTTTTTACTTTCCCTTTCTTTTTGTTCAGCATGTGTGTTCTTCCAAATCTGACAGAAACTCCTTTGAACTTATGTGGACAAGAGAAATCTTAGGATGTGCTGTTTTCACCCATCATGCACAGTGCATTTTCTTTCCCCCTTTACTCTTTTGCATGTTCATTGAAAATGACAACCCAAAGGAAGAACAGTGAAATAGTTCAGGTTATTTCTACACTGATGCGATGAAGTTACAGCCCAAAACCAATTTTTAACTCATTTAGACCATTCAAGACAAGGACTGTACCAAACCAGTGGCATCAAACCAAATTGCAATCTGTTTAATTGGATCAACATAGCAGCATTAGCTCAACTAATGGCATGAGTTTGGGGAGGGACTACCTGAAATTGCTTTTGAAATTATGTATGGTACGTAAATCATAAAGGTTCTTTATCCTTGCAACCCTGGAAAAAAAACAGGTAATACCAGCCTAAAGTGGTCAATTACAAGTCCCCATTAGCTTAGTCAGGGTGGTTTACCAGGATACCCTCAACCCTCATATCCCAATAGTCGCTAGTCCAACTGATCAACCCCTTAGACTAGGTTACCTCGCAAAGTACCAAATGTATAACCCTTTTAAATTGGTCTACTATAAAAGAGCCTTTTAGCTTGAACATAGGCCTATTTGTGACCCAAAATTATCTTTTGTGGATCAACTTTATGCCACTAATGCTCTGTAGCGTTCTCATATCTGTTAGCAGGATGCTATCACCTAACAGCTAATAACTGGCACAGAGCCAGCCTGTTTCTCTTTCCATCTACTTCCTGTCTCAGCAGGCGAACCAGACCCAGCAGTGCTTCCCAGCCCAACAGGGGCCTATTTAATAGACTGAAATATTGCCTTGACTGATGAGCTTTTTACCTCAGACATAATCGAATTCCCCAGCCATATCATGATAGTATGTGCTCTTGTAGTTTTAGCGGCAGGGAGCAACTATTAATTTTTTTTTCGACCACTCAATTCCTCAAAGGGGCTTTTTGATTCTCACATTTGCACCAAAAGTGCTTATTTACCATAATATTCAACGGTCTGTTGGCTTTAGAGGGCTTACACAACAAAACCTTTAACAAATGTTTGGAATCTTCAGACAACTTGAAAGACATCACTGAGTAACTTGTGGTGGCTGTATAATTGGATGTCTGGTTCTGTGCAAGGAAAAAAAAAGTGAGGGAGCAAGAAAAGGAGAGAGTCCCTCCTTTTTCTTTAGCTGGACATTTGTCATGGCTCTGAGAAGCCCCAGGAGCTGACTGTGGAGCCTTGTAAAGCTTGGCCCCATTTTTGTAGCTGTAATCTGCATGTGCCGTATGCTCCATGGAGCTCAGGTGTATTACCAAGAACTTGGGTGGCCTCTGGGTCTTTGGGAGGTCTGTTTGAATCCATGTACTTAAGCTTGAGTTCTCAGGTGGAATTGTCACATCCACTCTCACTGTACGCAACGATTTAGTGCTGCTAAAGCAGACTTGTGCTTCTGGGTATATATTAGGTGTTTTCGAGTTCTTTTGAGTTCTCTCTATAAGAAGTTTAGACCTATTAGAAGTAGAACTTAACCGAGTGGAAAAATAACCTATTATTTGCATTCACACTGTTCCTGGCCTTTGAAAACATAGTCAGATCACCTCTACACCATTTTACTGATTCCTGTGAACCATTAAAAAGGGGAATCCTGTTTGTGTGACCAAGGTGGCAACAAGTTGATAACAGTCTAAGCCAGTGTCTAACCCATAATTTTTGTGATCCCAACCATTATCTTCCTCTTCAAAGAAACCTGGTTTGGCAAAACATACCAGACAGAACTTGGGTGGCTGTGGGTTGAGCTATGGAGGCAAGACCCTGCTGCATGGACAACTGGTGCAACTTGGCCAACTGTGATAAAAGAGAAAGAACAAATGGAGGGAAATGTAATTTCATTTGGATGAAAGGGTTTTATTATTCTTATCATAATACACAGCTGAGAATTGAACCATATACTTCATTCACAAGTGTAAAACAAGCTAATTTACTTCACAAAAACTCTGAACTAATGGAAGTTACACAGTATGAAGGTGGTTTTCAGAAGTTCTCTCTAAAGCTTCTTACCTCTGAGTGTGGAATGCCGTATTGGTTTTGTACAGTATAAGCCTGGAAAAGAAATAGTGAGGAGTGTTATGCATCTTCTACAGAATCTCTGAATCCAAAAACAAGTGAAGAAGCGGAAAGTGATAGAAGTGGTCACCAAATATTTAACAGCATATAAATCAAAACTGCCTAATGTTACCGAATGAAATGTCGAACACACAAATAACTTTAACACACCCTAAACATTGAAGCAGTTTGTGCGTCTGTGCCTTTAAAGTCAACACAAAACCAGAATTTTCTAAAATGAACATTTCACCCAACATTTATTTTCTCACAAAAATAAATGGGTTACACATGCCATTTCATGTTGACATTGACTTCAATATGTTATTGGCTAATTACTTAACATGTGAAAACTATCAGTGTGGTTCACAGTTGTTCATTGAAGTGGAAAGAGTCACTAAATTATGAATATGAGTTGATATGTAAGTACTGGTATATATCTATACAAGATATATACATACAAGTTGTTTGCTGGTGTTCTGTGGACTGTTGGCTGATTTTAAAAGGTATTTGGGCACTTGTCAACTGGTTAGGCCAGAACTAGGGGGTCTCTGACCCCTCTAGACCACCCTCCCACCTTTATAATTCAAAAACTGTCTAAAGGGGACAGATGTGAAACTAGAAGATCTCTAAATCAAGGCTTGTGCATCAAAGAGAATGAGAAGCCAAATAGCCAGACGCAAAAGCTACAGAGAACGCTGCATGCTCTTCCCAGAGGTTCTCTTGCATAAGCCTGTTTAAAAGTTTAAACACGTGGAAGAGAGAAGGAGAGAGAGAAACCGAGGGAGGATAAAATGGAAAATAAAATAAAAATATCAGTGATGCAGAAATGGCAGTCTATGTTGAGGAGCAACCCTAGTTTGTGTCTCTGGTAGCCAAGTTAATGAAAATGATTGGTCACAGCTCTCAAGGCAAACATTGTTTGGGAGGAAAACATGACCCTTCTTTGTCAGGACGGATTTAGCTTCTCTCCGGAGGTGAGCTCAGAATTTGCTACGTGACTGGCACCCCTTACCCTTCAATGTCTCTGATAGTCTCCCATTTTGTTTTGCTATCTTTATTGTTTGTCCTCCTTTTCCTTTTAAATTTGTGCTTAAAATGTTGAAAATACGGCTTACTTGCTTCCATGGAACACAAAAAAGGGGTTTGCAAACTAGAAGGTCAAGCTCAAAAAAGGACAAAATCGCAAACTAAGATGTGCACTACATTCCGAGACATCTAAAGTAATACAGTAGCTTTGTGTGAGCAAAGTCCGCAATTTAAGATCAAACCTGACAGCGCATCTGGATGTGTCATTTGAATGCAAATGAGATTTGAGAGCCGAGAAGATTAAAGTTGGCATGAAATGAAAATTCACTATATCTATTTTCTAAATGCATGTTCACAGTTGGATCTGTAATTTTTTTAAATTTTGACCTTGTAATGTTTAAATCAAAATGACTTCTCGTGACGTATACAGGACTTCTCCAATCATTTCCACTTAAACCCGCACATGCAAGCTTGCGTTCATCTGCCTCCACTTTTGCATGCAACACCCACATCTCAACATTCAATAAACAACCTATGCAAAGAATGAGTTCTGTGCACTACATTTTTTTCTTGTCTGATAATTCATTTCACTTGGATGAACATCAGAATACAAACGACATGACACTTCTCTCATTGCATCGCGATTTTAAGTAAATGATTATTGATGACTTAAATTTTGGTCTATTTTTGACGTTAGAATCTTTGGTATATAGCGCATAAATCATATGTACCTCTTTAATGGCAATTTCTTTCTGGAGCCTGATAGCTTTCAAAAAGGTTAGTAGCAAAATGGGAATAAACTGGAATTTTATTTGGGTGAACTATTACTTGATTTCAAACGCTTGGCAATATACATGTGCCAATATACATACATTAGTGAAAAGGAGGCGGAGCTTTCATCATTTTAGTAATTTCCTTATTTCTTTCCTTCCTGTCCTCCGAGCTCAAAACGCTCGTAAATAATGTAGAAAAGCATTAATCGCCTGGCTGAGCCACTTAACGCTTCGTAATCATTATGCACATACACACATACGTGGTGCCTTAATTAGCAAGAGTCGTGGTGATGTTGTCAGTCCCGTCTCCTGGCAGACAGCATTTATCTTCGCTCGTTTAAGAGAATGTCAGTGCTCGGGCCTGACACCTCGTCCTTACAGCTCTCGAGGTAGAGTATGTGTATTGGAAGGTCACATGGTTCCCCTTTTTAGCCATCACATCAGCATTAGTCAGAGGCGGATGACACTTAAAGGAACAGTTCACCCAAAAATTCTGTCTTCATTGATTCACTCTCAAAACACAGGATGATTTCAGTAATATTTATGCGGTTGTTTTCCATACAACGAAAGCAGGCAGTGACAAGGTATTGTCAATCTCCCAAAAAAAAAGGCCATACATTTTGTCCATAAAACTTCTAAAGTCATAAAACAATTTTGTATGAGGAACAGACCATATTTGAGTTGTTTTACTGAAAATATGTGCCCTCCGCTGTAGCTCTCAATCCCATCTTCATTTTCAAACCTGGCATATTATATGCACCATGCCAGCAAACAGTGACAACAAATGCGACTGGTTCTAGTCTCAAAAAACAAACCAAATGTTGAGCACAAATTTGCACTTATGTGTATAAAACCAGCTTAGACATTCTGTTAAACATCTTTTCTGGGTTTCACAGAAGAACGAAAATCATACAGATTTGCAATTACATAAGGGTCGGTAAATGTTAATTTTTGAGGAAATATTCCTTTAATTCACACTTAACAGACTTGGCCTTGATATTGTGTGTCTCCAGGACATGATAAACATTCTTTCACCAATGTGTTTAACTGCTAACTTAGGAATGGGGGATGGGTGATGCTATCAACTGTTACCATTAATCTTCATAGTAAAACTTGCACATATACACTGATAACAGTCTACCTAGAAGACCTGAACATTAAGTCGAGAGATTATAAGTCATTCACACCATCATAATATCCTCAAATGAACTTCCCACAGCAGCAGAGTCTCCTGTAACTCTGTAACATCCAGAATAAATGTTTCTCACAGAAACATCAGTGATAAGCACCTCATACTGTTAAAAAATATATATTTTTTCCACACTGTAAATTATACACATCAAAGCAGTTTGCAAACTTGGAGTAAGAAGAAAAATCAATTTCAATTTTGGTAGCACTTTATTTTACAGTCATGTTCCTCATGTACATACTATGTACTTATTATAGTAATTACAATAACTAGGTAATAACTAGTTACTAAGCCTGAGCCTACCCCTAAATCTAACCCTACCCCATGTAGTTACCAGCTATTACCAGTACTTTCTTAGGTAGGTACATTGTAAGTTCACTGTAAGTATATGTAAGTACTTTTTAAAATAAAGTGCAACCTACATTTTGGTCAGTTCCTCACACAAAATATGGATGCATACATTTTGTAATATGGTGCACATCTTTTTGAGCTCATAATTGTATGTATAAGAGCTACATGAAAATTTTGAAAAGTAAGTGTTTTGGGGTAAACATTTCTTTATTACCAAATAAGTTTGTAAATATAGTAGGACCGCAGCCACAGCCTTGGGGGACACCCTATATTTAATACCTGTAAAGTTACACAAATTTATAAAATCAAGTCAAAACTTAGTTCTCAGCAAAAAATTATACAATTGCAGTGGGTCGAGGGTAAAGCCTTGCCTGAATGAAACATCAAGTGGAAAAACAATCTCATGTCTAAAAACATTAATTGCTGTATATTCTCGCTCCCTTGCTCAAGTGGGGAGGACACTGACTGCAACATGCGGCAAGAGGAATGACAGAGGGGAACAGAATTCCCATCTCCATGCAGGAGTGAAAGAGGCAAATAAAGAAATAGTGGGAAGCATGGCTCCCTATAGTATCCATCATGGATAAATTATACTCACTTGCTGCAGATCCAGCCCTCCCTGAGTCACTGAGAAAAGTGGGTGTGACGCAAACTCTGAAGTTTCGAAAACCTTAAAAAGGCAAATAGGGGACAGAGACACAAACCAAGGCTTCACTGGCATGTCATTAGTCTTACAAATATGCATATTTCTCATATACATTAGCGTCAATTTTGCTGTTACTGCTGTCATTACAATTAGGTGTGATTTGAATACAGACTGAAAAGTGTTAATGAAGAAAAAAGATGAAGCAATGAAAATTAATTTCATTATTACACATTTATCTTACTCATCATGACAGACAGGTAAATACATCAAACAGATGATGTATCATAAGTGCGCACATCAAAGTTTCTGCCAGTCCGCTTAATTATACCATTGGTGAATGACTTCACAACACTTTTAATGGTGTGGAATATTCATGAGCTTGATTGATCTAGTCACTGAGAAAAGTGGGTGTGACGCAAACTCTGAAGTTTCGAAAACCTTAAAAAGGCAAATAGGGGACAGAGACACAAACCAAGGCTTCACTGGCATGTCATTAGTCTTACAAATATGCATATTTCTCATATACATTAGCGTCAATTTTGCTGTTACTGCTGTCATTACAATTAGGTGTGATTTGAATACAGACTGAAAAGTGTTAATGAAGAAAAAAGATGAAGCAATGAAAATTAATTTCATTATTACACATTTATCTTACTCATCATGACAGACAGGTAAATACATCAAACAGATGATGTATCATAAGTGCGCACGTCAAAGTTTCTGCCAGTCCGCTTAATTATACCATTGGTGAATGACTTCACAACACTTAATGGTGTGGAATATTCATGAGCTTGATTGATCTTAATGCTACTGTTATTCATGCATAGGAGTGTTGATAATGAATAGCCGTGTCAACATGAATAAACATAAATGGCCTCTCTACTCTCTTCTGGAGACGAGTTAGAGAATTATGTGAAGTGAATAATGGAGCAAACGATAGATTAAAGAGTGAAACAATAGACCTTAGTCAGGGTAGACGGCATACTTCATTTGATGGGGACGAAAACAAGGCGGTGAAGGATGGAAGCACAGTTTGTTCAAAGGCCATTAAATCCGACAACTTAAGTAAGAATGGTTTTACGAACAAATTTAGTCAAATCACTGAAAATATATCTTCAGACAAAACTGGGACTTACGAATGTTTTTTACACACAAATTTGTGTTTCAGGTTTTGAATATACTGAATATACTTCCATTCCAGAGTCTCGTTTTCATTTGCGTCAAATGCCATTCACACTGAATAAGGTCTATTGAGGCTGTAAAAATTTCTCACAATATGATATTGGCTGGATGACAGATTTATAACAGTGTAACCTAATAAATGGAACTAAATCTTAGATGTATTTATACATGTTTGCAATACTTTGTTTAAATGACTTCAGAGTTAATGAACACACAACAAACAGGCTTAAGAAATATTTACATAGACTGTAAATATAATATGTAAAAACATAGACTGTCCTTACCAATACCCTTCATTGATGGACAGACGCGTTTTGTTAAAGGAAATGGAGGCAGCATTCTGTCAGCTGTGTGGCGCTTTATGAAACTCTACTATATTAAGTCAACTGAATATTAAATATTTTCAGGGCACACAGCATATTTACAGGTGGGTTTTGTGTTTTTGGAGATGTTAATTGGATCTGCTTGATCCCAGCACTAATTATGAGGGTTATATTTGAGACTATTAAACCTTGTTCACACAGGAATTTTTTATTTGTTTTGGTGTATACAAACATTATTTCTAGACTGATCTGCAAAAAACAAACCTGATTTAACTAAATTCATACTTTAAAATATCCATACAGTAATCCTTTTTTTAATGTTTAGCACCATGGTGAGAAGCCATAATAGACATCCACAATGACAACTTGCTAATTTCAGCTGTAAAAGAAACAACTCTCTTGGCATCATGATGACACCTGCGTCATGACTGTCACAATCGATGTAGATGTACCAGACATTGACTATACTGTCTGAACAAATGGATTCCAGTTTCATTCCTTGCAAAATGTCACTTTGGACAGCCAGTCCTGAAGACTAGATATGAAAAACAAATCAGATTTGTGTGCAGTGTGAACAAGGCCTTGAAGGAATAGTTTGCCCAAAAATGAAATTCTGTCTTTATTTGACTTGGAATATAATAGATGACTTGTGGACCACTTTTGTGATTGTTTTGTCATTTTGTTGCTTGACAACTCATTCACACTGATTATTTTAAAAAGAGTGGCCAGGATATGCAACATTTCCGCAGAAGGAAAAAGCCATACAGGTTTAAAACTAAATGAGGGATTTATGGTGAGTACATTATGAAAGAAAAGTGTTATTTTTTAACACTTAATAAAGGTGCACTACTGGATGTTTGGCTCTTTAAGCGATTGAAGCTTAAAACTTCAAGTTACTTTCAGAGGTATATTATTACTCCCTTTCCAAAAAGAAAAGTCATAATCAAAAAATATATAAATCTCATTGAAATTAATTGTTTTAAAATAAATAATGTTACAAAAGTTTGTGGACGTGACCACACAAAGACAAATGATGTCAAACTGACAATTCCTGCAAAATCCAACCCGACAGCTCAAATTATTAGTCGATATTATCTGATAAGAGATCTGTTAAGAACTGGAGTAAGGTAAGGAGACAGTTTCACACAGATTTTATGTACTTTATCAAAAAATTATTTTTGTTCATTTAATGCACCTTTAAGTGTCGTGAATTTTTATAAGGAAAGCGGGACACTTTGTTGAAAGAACCTCATGTTTTGCCATTTTGATGTGCATTTTTACCTGATTTCCAGCAAGAAGCACTGCGCCTGGAGCTGGAGTGGGGCGGTATGGAATTGTAGCACCCTTTGGAGGAGACTACAAACATAAAATACAACAATTATTAATTTTAACACAGGACTTTACAGATTCACCCTCAGTATTAAACTTTGACTACCATTCTCAGCTCATTCTGCAATGGCGCTAAAAGGTCTAGAACAAATCAAGGTTTCTCTTACCTAAGGGCATTTGCAAAGTCATTTGGTCATATTATCTTAATGACTGGAAATGCTGACACGGTGCACAAATGCAACATTTATCGATTGGCTCTTCATTGGATCACTTAAAAGCATACCATTATCCTCTCACAGAAAGTCATTTGGCCAAATTATTTCAGAATGCTATTAATGCTTGCTCATGATATCCTCAGATGGAAAACTTGCAATGCAGAAAATGTGCCCTGAGCATGTAGCATCATTGCAACTCTACAAGTCTGTTGTTCAAACCTACATTTTAATTTAAAAAAGGAATAAAATACATTTTACAAAATGACTGTCAAATCATTCTTGCCCTATTAGTCCTAGACAAGCTGTCATCTGTGCCTGAAGGACATATTTTATTAAATAAAACACAAGTACACCGATAACTAACTGTACCTGCTCATATGCAGTAATTCGATTAAGAGGTCAGAATAAGGCCAAAGTGATGAAAACTCAGTGAAGCGCATCCCCCACAATTGCTCAACCAAACAAAAGGAATCTTTTTAAATATTCATTGGGTGACTTTGCATAATTTGCATTCTGGAGCAGGCAGACAGTTGAGGATTCCTAAAATGGGCAGTGTAGCAGTCAACAATCTGCCCCTCATCTGGTCCTTTAAAAATTAAACAGAACAAGCAGTAGGCATTCAGTATGATCCCACTGAATAAAAAGTGTAAATTCTTTTACGAAAAAAAAAAAAATAATAATAATTTTCAACCATTTATGTGCATAGAAAACCATTTGAGAGCAAATGCGTTTCACGCTGTGGGAGAGTTGAGAGACCGCATTCACTAATCATTACTGTAATGATTTTTAACATGCAGTTAGGTTAGATCGAGTATCTTTGGAAAAAGTATTTGACATGCAAAATGCAATAAAAATATCTGTTTAGGCTCCAGAAATTTATCATATTCATTGATCAACGCCACTAAATCTAAAACTGAAAACCAGTATGCAGTCTTTGAAGCACAGAAGCATTTGAAGTCTTGTAGATTAGGAATATCACACAACAGTCATCCATAACAGTTTTTCAAGGCCAATGCATGCATAAAAATCTTGCGTTAATGAAGCCAAATGGATTTGCTCAGAGTCAAATTACCTCTAGTATTACAGTGCAGATGAGCTTGACACACTGGATGATAGCGTCCTGGCTGCCAGATATCGTCACACCTCTCTCTGTGGAGTTAGGGAGCAGATCTCCTGCCACCTGTACCTGAGCCCCTGTTTTCTGCCATACGAAGGAAGAACAGATCATTAGTACATTGATTTGCCTAGGTCAGGTCTGTCCAATCCTGCTCCTGGAGAGCCAGCTTCATGCAGAGTTTAGCTCCCACACACCTGTCTGACAGGTGAGACCTTGAAATAGCATGTTTAGGTTGAAGTGTCTTTATTTAGGGCTGGAGTTCAGTAAGTTGCAGATCCTCCAAGAGCAGGATTGGACACCCCTGACCTAGGAAATGGATAATAATGAGGACTAACCCAAACCCTAACTTTACTGCAATTAGATCTTTCTCTTTGAAGATGTCCCCAAATACTTTGTTCAATTTAAATAACTTCCATCAATTTCCCCCTAAAGTGTTGCTAGGGTAAAACTACCAAATACATGTATATTTATAATCAAACCCACGGTGGAAAAAAAAACATGAATCCAGGAGTTGCTTAACCAAACCCAATGAAGCAAGAGGGTAGGGCTAAAACATTGGGATGCACTGTGTTTACTTGGTGCTGCTTACTTGAAAGTCTCCAGCAACCCACCAAACATACCCCATTTCAAAACTTACTTTCTTGCTTTGATTAGCTTAACGCACTTGATATTCCCCCAACTCCAACAACCTTCCCCTTCCCACACCCCCTGCAATTGCATTACAGAACACTCCAAATTTAGCATGACAGAGCATTCACCATTACCTCATACCATCTTGACAGCCCAGAGACCATAAATGTAAAATAAATGGGTTTTTACTGGCATCCAAACCCATGAAATATGCAACGGAGCAAGCAGTCCTAACATGGACGTCCTAGGCAGGAGGAAAGAAAAATAGGGATATGGAAAAGCACTCACCTCTCTGATCTCTTTGATTTTGGAGCCGCCCTTGCCTATGAGGGAACCGCACTGGCTGGCCGGGATGACCAGCCGCAGCGTGACTGGAGGCTTACTGGTGACTGTGCCGTTCGCCACAAGAGCAGCCAAGTCCTTGAGGGCCAAACATAGAATAGATGACGTGTTAACTGAAAGCTGTACTGTGGCTTTTATGGCAGAGTGGGGACTTTGATTCAGAGTGGTTTGGAACCATGGTTAAAGATCTGATAACTAGAAAGTTTCAGGACTGAACCTGCAAACGGTTATCCATGAGCTATCACCATTGTGCCCTTGAGCAAGTGAACGAACCCTAGGTTATTCCTGGGGGAACTGGCCCTATGATATCCTCGTGCTACCAAGACTACTTCTACCAGCTTAACCTGGATTCTCTAGAAGGGATCAAAACAAGGTGCAGCTCTGGCCTTTCCAGACACAAAAAGGGTGCTGCCAACTGTCTTCCTGTATCCCATATTTTGTTGTAAACTAGCACCAGTTATTTGTTACCTGACTCACGTAAGAGATAAGAGACTTGGATATAAACAAGGGACAGCATTGTTCAAGCAGATTTGAGGAATGCCATCAATTAATCTGGTGATTCTCCTCATAATTCAGAAGGTTTGTTTGAAGTTTGAAAATGCCATTGTGTACCAATGACCCTTTGTGGCTTTTGATTGTAATCTGATGAAATGTTCTTTACCAAAGCCATTTTAATCAATTTCCCTATTCAGGGTTTGCAGATCGATGTGCCCTGCCAACAAAAGGTTATAGCTGACTGAACACAGTTGCACCGCCATTGAAGACACCCATTGATTTCTATGACCAAATTAAACAATATTTACCCACCTGTCATCCGCACTTGTCTCTATCAAAATGTGACATGCATTCGCAAGGTGCGAAAACAAAACCCTAATAAAAAAGAAACTTACTGAATGTCTGAATAGGACAAGTTGTATGATCCTCTTTTATGCTGAATTTTTGGTGTTCTTTTGTAACCTTTTAATGGTGGTCACAAAATCATTCAATGAAAAACTGCTGCATGAAGATTAAAAACAAATTTTCCCCTTGTATTTCACAGAAAAAATTATAAGTGGACCATCTGAAATGACATTTGACACATCATCCAGAATTAGTCTTATGGTCAGCACCTAAGTAGAGGAGGGTAACTAAGGTTCCACACTCATATTCCTGCCACTACAAGAAATCAGCTCCAGCATCCATTATTCACCCAGTGCATATTCAGAAGCTTTCTCTTTAATTAAACCAGGTAATAAATATCTGCCCGGATCGTGGCCCACCACTGCTGCAATCAATTAGTGGGGGAGCAGGAATCTTGCCGGGTTTGATATGTAAATAGCATGTGCTGCTTCTCTGCCCATCAACCCAGACCTCACCTACGTGAGCCGAATGAATACGCCTTGAGTGGTGTCTCAGAAAGTAGAGCTAGTGAGTCTTTTTCTTCTGTTTAGTGTTTCCGTCAGAGCAAGAGGTTTGGAGACGCTGTTGTTGTGTTCTTTCAACGGCTGGCCCCGAAACCTCCAGAGAACGAAGGGGAGGTGGAAAAAAAGAAAACCGTGCATATTTTCTTGCCAATGCTGTGGAAAGGAATATCCAAATGTCTGACTGAAATTATATTCTCTATTTCTTTCTCTTCCCAGTGCCTCTTTGTGGCCCTCTGTAGTCTTTTCTCGGTGGAATTAGGAGTGATATTAATATGCCTCAGTCTTAATAACGGTGACTAATAAGGGTACTTTCACACCTGTAGATCGATTGCTTTGTTCCGAAACAGGGATTAAAATTATTACAATGTTGCTTTTTATTCTTGGTGCGGTTTGCTTTCACACGGCAAAGTTTCTAAACGGACCAAATTTGTTAATACAAGTCACGCGCAAGTAAACTGTTCTCTCATTGGTCAAAGTTCCACGGTTTATTTTCCGGGATTCCACTTAGCTGTCACAGCAGTCATCCGTCAGAATGGAATGACAACAGCTTCTTTTTTTTGTAGCTGTCCTTATATTAATTTATCATTTTGAGCAGGAGTCCAGGATTCATCGGGAAAACATTTTTAAAATGCACCTACTAGGAAGAAGAGCAATAAGCATTATAACATTTTATTTTGAATGGTGAAGACTTGCTCACCCACAAACATTCACAGGTTCATTTTGAAGTATTAGCAAAACATCAAAGCTAATGCTTTTCACGTAACTTATGTAATTACCCTTTATACATTGTGACACAGCCTGGTTCGTTGGTCCGTTAGATCGGATTGCTTTCTCACTACAACCGAACCGCTCCAGAGTTCGTTTTCATTCGAGCCGAGACCACCTCGTTCAGGCGATCTCAGACCGATTGTTTTGGCGCGGATCTGGGTGCGATTGCCGTGTTCACATATGCCCAAACGAACCGAGCTAAGGGGGGAAATGCGCCAGGTTCCGAAACAACGAGCCAGGTGTGAAAGCATATTCTTGATGTAAGACGTCACACAAAGCCTTTACCCCTTATTCCTCTCGTCTCATTTAACAACCCTCCTGGATAATAAAATATCAATTCAGATATTACTCTCAGCAGATTGACTCTGTCTTCTTTGCACATTAGCTGTTGAGTAAGGGGGTCCAGGCTCAGAATTTATGACAATTTGTAAGGGCTCTTGATCTGATGCAACTAAGGAGCTGTTTTAAAGCTTCAATCTAAAGCATATGCAACAACAACTCAGGGTTGAAAGCATGCGGGTGAAGTCAAACAATTTCTGATGCAAAGCAAGAAATGTTTAGTGCCATTCAAGTGCCTTCTGTTGTTCTAGTACCACAAATCAACAGCAACAATATACCCTTCTATAAACAATACAAAAAAAGTACAAATAAAGTATCCTCGTTTTGTGTATTTTATGTGGATATGGATCTCAAGCATTAAAATGTTGATGATAAATTATTATTATTATTATTATTATACACTGTAAAATGATTTTTTTTGAAGTTGTAAATAATATATTAGAATCTATTTTCTAATGTAAATAATATATTAGAATACATAAGATTGTTGGTTTAAGTTTTACAAGAAAATACTTTTCTGCTTAAATTTCATGTTTAATTCAATGTGCTACTCATCATTTTTTTGTAATTACTTGTGAAATGTACCTATTGAAATTTTATTATTTTGTAATAATAATAATTCTATCATGGCAGATTTCTGGTGTGAATGCATTCAGTTTTATCATGATTACTTTATATTTTAAACAGGGTTTCAATGACTAGCTATAAATTTAAAAATATATAAACTAAATAATATTTAATAATAATAATGTTTGCCAAAATGTTTGCACATAAAACCATGTGCAATTGTTAGTGAATGAGACCTAGTAACTTAGTGTCTCATGACATCTCTTGTGGATTTTTAGCTTAAAAAAGACTCCTTTCTAGTCTAGACATTCACAGTCTTCTCCCTAAGCACCGAAACTCTTTGTCTATTCTGTCATATATCATCCAAAACTCTGAAACATGGCTTTTAGATGTCCTCCATTTTCTCAGCTGACTGAAAGAGCAGCGAAAACATTCTGCATCAAAGCCGGGCCAGACCTCAATAGAGCGCCTTGTAAAATTCAGCCAGTAATGCTCATCATATGCTCGGCATAAACGAACCCCGCCGCCACCTCAGGGGTTTCTATGGTGACTCTTCCGTTATGGGTACGGAAACGGGCTTGTGCGGAAGACAGGGATATTCCTAACAGATGTTTAATGAATGGCACCCTGCCTGCTATGAAAGGATATCAAATACATAATGGGTTTAGCAAGAGTGAGAAGATTCATTATTACTTGGTGGGGGTAGAGCTGACATGCTGCAGGCGGACAGGCACACCTCATTGACTGGCAGTTATATAACTCTACTGATGCCATTAAATAAAAATACGGGTGTGTGATGCATATGTATGCATGTTCCTATAAACAACGGAGGTTTGCATTTGGCAGTTTATGCATTTACCGAACTTTTTTTTTAGAATTTCCACACAGTTTACTTAACTAAATAGTGCTATTGCTTGGAAATACAGATCCCGACTCTTATAGGCTCATGCCATTGGTTGAGTTAATGCATGACATGAAATAAAATACATGACACACATCAGCATCAAAAGTCCCATCGTGATCTGGGAAGTCGCACATTTTATTATTTTTTTCAGAGAGCTGTATGTCTCTTTTCAGCAGTTGTTCACTGGCATCACCAAGGGAATGTAACGTGTTGGGGCTCAAATTATATTTCTGAAGTTATCCTGCAGATAGGCACCCCACTGCTATAGGACTGACAATATATGAAAACTACCCACGACTCTTTCAACCAGCTGTTCTTACAAACCATGTCTCAGAATTGCTGAAATGGGCGTTTATGCGTTCATCCTGACAGATTTATTGCTGCAAATCGTCTGGAAACCATTCAATTCCAGCAGAAGTTATTTGCAGACTGTTGATGAGGTTTTAAATAGCATTAAGTATTCATTGGTATCAGCTAATTTTTTTAAATTTTTTTCTCTGTTATTAAAAAAGCACAATAAGACTATGAACTTGTTTTAAATAAGTACATGTCAATTTTGTTTCATGAAAATTGCTGAAATTGAAAGAATAGTTTATCCAAAAGTGAACATTTGCTGAATATTTTCTCACCCTCAGGCCATCCAAGATGTAGATGAGTTTGTTTGTTCATAAGAACAGATTTGAAGAAATGTAGCATTACATAACTTGCTCAGCAATGGATCCTCTGCAGTGAATGGGTGCCGTCAGAATGAGCATTCAAACAGCTGATAAAAACATCACAATAATCCACACGACCTCAGTTCTTTATTACAAAATCCACGTGTTCGTAATAAAACGTCTCGATGGATTTGTTTAAACCATCAATTCATGGCCAAAATAGTCCTTTCACATCACAATCCACCAACATATTTGTACAGAACTGTTCTGAACTGTTTTCACTTGTAAATGTTGTCTGATCTGTGCATATTTCTCTCCTGTTTCAGTCGAGACACTTTTTTACTGGAGAAAGCAATAGTATGGAGAGAGGACTTGTATTTTTGCCGGAAGCGATGGGTTGAACTTAAAAACGTCTTAATGATGGATTTGTCACTTCATAAGATGTTATTTGATGGACTGGAGTGGTGTGGATTACTTGTGGATTACTGTGATGTTTTTATCAGCTGTTTGGACTCTCATTCTGACGGCACCCATTCACTGCAGAGGATCCACTGCTGAGCAAGTGATGTAATGCTACATTTCTACAAATCTGATGAAGAAATAAACTCATTTACATCTTGGATGGCCTGAGAGTGAGTACATTTTCAGCAAATTTAAATTTTTTGGTGAACTGTTTCTTTAAGAAGCGTTCATCCTGACAGCTTTATCACTGCAAACTGACCGGAAATCATTCATTTTCAACAGACATCAGTTATTTCCACAGACTATTGACGATGTGACAGATTTAAGTAGATTTAACATAGCATTAAGTAATTATTCATTGGTATCAGCACTTTTTTTTGATCAATTTTCCATTATTGGAAAAAAAAAGCACGATGAGATTAGGTACGTGTCTTAACAATTAAGGTCAGTTTGACTATTTTTTATGGGACTCTTTCTCTAATGTTGGCACAATAGCATGCAGGTTTATGTTATATTTTATGCTTATTGCCCTGCGTGCTTATATATGCATGAATGATTTTCCTGTACTTACCTCCTCCAGTTTGATTGTGATCATAGTGAAGGCTCTTAACACACACTCTGTGGCGCCCGTGATGGTGATGATTCTCTCTGGGCACGAGCCTTCTGAGATATTGATACGTGCACTGCTCTGTATGGAAGAAACGGTAAGAACAGTAAATGGATGGGAGGTTGATAATGAGGAAGAAAAAATAGAGTAAATAAACTAAATATCATGCATTTACACTAGTAGTAGTTTTCCCTCAAATGCATAGGCAACGTTGTGGCCTTGCTTTTATTGTATTTTAACTTCAGAAATGAAATATGCAGGAGTTGTGTGTGTGTGTGTGTGTGCGCGCATTTTTAGGCACACAAATTAATAAAAAAAATATTTTCTTTCTACATCAGGTAGGATGCCAGCAGTACTTGAACCACCAACAGTTTTTTTATTTTTTTTATTTTTTTATACTGCAAGTTGGCAAAAACACCTTAATCCATAATGAAGGTGCACAAGGCACCGCAGCAAAAACATGTAGTTTTAGTTGTGGCCTTGCTTTTATTGTATTTTAACTTCAGAAATGAGTGTGTGTGTGTGTGTGTGTGTGTGTGTGTGTGCGCGCATTTTTAGGCACACAAATTAATAAAAAAATAATTTTCTTTCTACATCAGGTAGGATGCCAGCAGTACTTGAACCACCAACAGTTTTTTTATTTTTTTTATTTTTTTATACTGCAAGTTGGCAAAAACACCTTAATCCATAATGAAGGTGCACAAGGCACCGCAGGAAAAACATGTAGTTTTCGTTACGGTATTCAACATTGTGAAAAAATAATATACTACAAGACATTCCTATCCAGACAGGATTAGATTTATCAGAGAACGCTCAAGAAAATAGTAGGCAATTTGTTCTGTATTTTTTAACCAGGGTTGTGTGAGAAAAACACAGGCGTGTTCGATTTGGAAGGGATTAAAATCATAACGTACATCTGTGAAACACAAATTTACCTGACCTCCTCAGGGAAACTTGTTCCGCCCCCATAGGCCTTATGTTAGGTGTGCGTATTGTGTGTGTTCTGTCCAAATGTGTGGATGTCTCCAGCAGAGATCTGGACTGAGCTGCGTGATTCATTCTCCTGCAGGGCTCTGACTGTCAGCCTCATTTAATCTGATCGTTCTATCAATCATGCACAAATGCATGCAAATATAAGTGAGTTTAGTCAACGGTGTATTGAAGCTACAGTATAACTTACATATACTATTTATATATTGTCATTATTATTTATAAAATGCATATATATGTATGTCATTACTAAATTTATGCAGTTAATTAACAGAGTACCATATTTTCCACACTGTAAATCATGTTGTGATGGTAAACTATGATTTACCAATATGTGTGTGTTTTCCACTAAACAATGGAAATTTTGACCCATTGTAATGTACTTTTTAATCAGGTATGACTTATTTTCCGGAAAATACAGTAGTAATATTTATTTATTTATTTAATTATTTATTTATATTTGTGGCTAAAAGCAAACAGACAAGGTATTTATTTAATAAAAATTTTCTCATCATTCTCATATTTTCTCACTCTCATGTCATTCCAAACATGTGCACTTTTGTGTGCTTCACAGTCCCTGGTAACTATATGCTTTTGCCATATGGAAAAGAGCAACGTGACCATTCAAAATATCTCCTTTTGCATTCAACACAAGACAGACATATGAATTTGGTGTGACACAGTAAGCTTTCTTTAAGCTCCTTCTGCTAATAATAGCACAGAACAGCAGAGAAAAACATCCAGTGGCAATTGCTTCTGTTTATGACATCTATCGGGCCCAGGATTGACCCCTGTGGTGCCCCAACTAGTGTAATAGACAATGCCTCATGTGCAGGCTTGCGTTCACATTTGCCACCAACCAAACTATTAATTAGATTGAAATAACACAATCTTTTTTGACATTTTGTTATATTAGGAAGCAAAAACATTAGGTAAAGGTTCTGGTGAACTAGAGAACAAGAGACTAATAAGAGAGAGAGAGAGAGAGAGAGAGAGAGAGAATTATATATATATATATATATACGCTCACCCACTCCTGGGTTTTTCTCCTTGGTAACCCACTTCAATCTTTATCTGGAAGCTATTGTTATTAGCAACTACCTTGAAAATACCAATGCATTCATATCAAACTAATGAATTAGTGTTCGCCGTGTGTGTGCGCCATGCGCCCTTGAGATGAAAGGCTTAATTTAAATATTCATGTCTTCTGCAGTCTTTCAGGTTTAATGTGGCAGACATCAACTGGTTTGAGGACGTATGTGGGATGTAAGGGCATTTTGCTGTCTTTTTTCCAGCATTAAACCACATTTATGTGTAAAAATCCATGTGGTCTAGCTTCAAAGGAATACCGTCTGTTCTGCATGCATGATGCATGCTGGGAAGCTGAGAACGACAACATTTACGAGTAGCTTGTAGCTTACCTCCTCTCGTATCCTTTTCACAGTCTCTCCTTTCTGTAGGGGGAGAAAAAAAGAAGATCATAAAGCACTTATTGCCTTTGTCTCACGTTTGTTTGTGTGATATGTTGCTTTCCCAGAGTGACTGTCTTTCACAATGGCTTATAGTGGAAGATAAAATGAGTTTGACTAGCTGAACAGATAGGTCAAATTAATATCAATTCTGCTTCGCTACACAGCAATACGGCATCTGCATGGATAGGCCTCAGGGGAACAAGTTTTCAAATCGAAGGTCTTGCAATTGGACTGACTAGGGAATCAATAGTCCATGAATCACTTAGATAGCCTCAGATAGTGTCTCGCTATCTCAGACACAGAAGGTAACGTGTGCGGCATAGTCATGACTGCAGATCCACAGACCTGCTTTTGCATGCTTGACTGGCGTTACATTGTCTTTAGATGGGCTTAAAGGACGATTGGCTATGTCATAACAGAGTTGAAGCAAGGCTTGGGTGGTTTTAATTTATCAGGGAAATTAACATTTCAGATGAGACGTTTTCGAGACCACCCATCTCATAAAACTAGCAAAGTTCTTTAAAACATCAAACTATGATGCATGTAGCAGTGTTTGCAGATGCTTATTAAATAACCTAAATATAGCCTAACCAGTCCCTTTCAGAGTTGACACCATAAAAAAACTGAACAAAAACAAGTCTGCGGAAGAACAGAAGTACAGTTTGTTAAAATATATCATACAGTTGCGTACTTGTGTGTTGATCGTTCGGCCAATGAAACATTGAACATGCATATATAACAAAATTACTGACGAAAATGTTTTGGTTTTTGTTATTCATCAATGATAATGTTGGGTTATTATAGTTAACTTAATAAATAAATAAAATAAATGTTAACTGTAACAAAATAACAAAAAAAATATTTTATTTCAGCTCATTGCCATAGAAACATTTTTCATTTCTATTTAGTTTAACTTGATGTAGTAAAAAAAAAATACTAGAAATATTTACTATAATTAAATACTTAACTATAATTAATTACTAAAAAAGTTCATTCAAACTATTAATAAAACCGATAATAGCATTTCAACTACATTAATAATTAGCTTTTTTGTAATTTTATTATTATTATTTTGGTCAAATAAATTCAGAATTGTATACATTTTCGACTACAAAACAAGAAGAAAAAAAAGAAAAAGTCAAATTAAACATTCTCCACTGTGGCTGAGAATCCGTGTATCATTCGATCAATCATTTTTTTATTTAATATTGAAAGTAGAAAATGAGAAAATGGCTCCTTTTTCGTTTTTCGTTCATGGGTGGATAAATGAATAAACAGCTTGAATATTGGATTTCTTCACGTAGGCGGGAATTAAACACCCCTTTCTGTTGATTGGTCAGCCGAAGATCAAACCATGCCGTCATCAGTTCTTCCACAGTACACACGCAGCAGAATAATAGTCCTCTGCTGCTGCAGTTGAATGGATTCTTAACACATTTATTGCAACTACATTTAATCTTTTTTTGTCAAACAAACTGGCTTATGAATAGCTCAACACAACTCATACTGGGGCAGAGTCTAGGCAGGGCTTTCTTCTGTGTAGACCAGCGGTTCTTAAAGTGATAGGGGGTCCAAGAAATAATTTGCTATAGCCTGAAGTATTTCCAGACTGTAAAGTTGCTTTTTTTATCATGATACATAGGCCTACAGTGGTTTATTCCAAAATGACTTATATGATGCATTTAACGTCAAATCATCTAAATGAAGCCTTTTAAAAGACAAGTATTTGCTGTGTTTCATGTTTGTGGCATGCGGCAGAAAGATGCTCAAGGAGACCGAGACGCACTAAAGCAGTGCATTCTGTTGTTCTCTTTATTTCTCAAAGGCATGACATTTTGTAGTTATTTTGAACGTAACGTTACACAATTAAAAATAT